TGCCTTGCGGCGGCGGCGGGGGCGATGGAGGCGCTGTGGGCCGCGCTGGACGAGGTGGCGCTGGAGGGGCTGGAGGGCCTGGCGCTGGGCGCGCTGTGGGAGCGCCTGGCCGGCCGCGTCCCGGCCTTCCCGCTGCCCCTGGAGCCCGCCGTCCGGCAGCTCCTCTGGGCCACGCTGGCCGCCCAGCCCGGGCTCCGCTTCGCCCTCCTCCCCCAGCCCCGCCCCCCGCTCCGCCTCTTCGACCGGTGAGGAAGGGGGGGCGGGGCGGCTGTGGGGCAGGCCAGCTCCCTCTGGGGAGGCGGGGTTGCCAACCTCCAGGTGGAGCCTGGAGACCGCCCCCTTCCCTCCCTCCGGGCGACGTTGATTTGCTTATTTATTAAATATATCTGACACCTGCATATTCCACTTCTCCTGGAGAAAAGGGCTTGCTTGGGAAGGCGGACTGTAGAGCACTTATATCAGGGGGTGGCCAAACTTGCCTAACGTAAGAGCCAGATAAAATAAATGTTAGGCACGAATGCTGGGCGGATTTTCGGGGCGTGATCACACCACAACATCTGGCAAGCGTAGCGCACCCCGTGGCCAACCTGTGGCGTGCCGCCGAAGATGTGCAGTTAAAAAGTACCTGCAAGGATCTACTAGCAAATGCTTTGCCACGAGCTGCAGACGGACTCCTTCGGTGTGATCGCGCCGGTGTGCGCCTATTCCCTCTGGGTGTCCTCTTTGCAGCGCGCACCAAAGGACGAAACCCTGGTGCGCTGCCGTCACGTCTGATCACATAATGGCGGATCAGAATGCGACGGCGCAAATAGCCACGAAGCAGATATTGATAATGATATTTGTTTGTTCTATGATATTTGTTTGCTAATGATGTTTCGCTTCCCCAGCCGCCCTGCCGGGAGCCGCACAATATGTGTGAAAGAGCCGCATGCGGTTCCCGAGCCACAGTTTGGCTACCCCGGCACTATACCATGCTGAGGTCCCTCCCCTCCCAAAGCTCTGCCCTCCCCAGTCTCAGCCCCCAAACTTCCAGGAGGTATTTCCAAACCCGAAGCTGGCAGCCTGTTTCTAGTCTTCTTGAGGCCCCAGCTAGCCCCACGGGCTGGCTCCCTTCTGGCAAAGAGCTCAGCGTAGAAGTGGTGACTTGTGTCGCTCAACAGCTGAAGCGGTGCCAGTGTGGTGTGGATGGTTAAGAGCGGCGGACTCTATAATCTGGAGAACCAGGTTTGATTCCCCACATTCCTCCTCCACATGCAGCCGGTTGGGTGACCCTGGGTGAGCCACAGTTCTCCCAGAGCTGTTCTCTCAGAGCTCTCTCAGCCCCACGTACCTCACAGGCATGCTCCCTCTAAGTTGTGGAGTCTTGTGAGCAAAAATTCTGCTTTGTGAGCGACTGGCATTCAAGTTGTGAGCGAGCGATTTGGCTACTGCATGAATCAGTTTGCTCTGGAGCCGTCCTTCCTGAGCGAAGACAAAAAGTGTGTGAGCCGGAGAGACTGTAAGCTACTCTGAGAATCCGAGTGAAAGGCGGGGTATAAATCCAATCCTATTCCTTTTTCTTGCCGAGTGAGGGTTTGACCCCGTGACTTCTGGTCTCAGGATGGCCCAGCAAAGCACCCTGGCCTAAGTTCCTTCAGGCTGGGCAGTTTGGGGGCAGGTTGAGCTCTTGGACCCTTCCGTTCCGCACAAACAACAGCAAACCCAGCCGATTCCAGTCAGGCTGGCTCAGAAGAGCTCACACCCTGCCTGTTGTTTCAGGTATGAAGAAATCGATCTTGAGATGGGCATACTGGAGACCAAGAGAGACCCCATTCCTTTAGATGACATTTATCCTGTGCACATGGTCATGGACGACAGCGATGGCATTCAGGGCTCCTGCCAGTATTTTAAGGAGAGGCTGGACATAACGGATCAGATCAGGACAAAGGACATGCAGCCCCGTTGCACTTACACAGAGGCCCATGACAGGTGAATATCCTAAGCAAACCAGCGAAATGCCTGTGAAACTGTTACCACGACCTATTCATAATTTGTGCGCACGTGGTTTCCGTGGCTGCAGTATATGTCAGAGGCAGAACTTCTTCCTACTAATATAGCTTACACTTCTTGGCTTTTCTTCTAGCTACTCTAGCCCTCTATTTTTACGTACAAGGAAATGCACACAGAATTCTTCTATAGCTGAGATCTAGCTCTAATCTAGTCCTCATGTTCTCCTAATTGACAGAGGCAGTGCAGTTACCAGCACTCCTTACCCTTATTGATTGGTTGATGAAGGTTCGAGAGTGTCAGGATGGTTTCTACTGTTAAGTGATTAGTTTATAATCCAACTTGATCCTCTTGTTGTTGCTTGTTCAATGCTTGTGATGTTTATTGTTGTAAACGATTGTTTAAAAATGAATTAAAATATATTTTTAAAAAAGAACTGTTCCCTGCTGCATCAGACCAAGTGCCCCTCCTCCCTCAGCATTCTCTTGCCCTTATGGGTGGCTACCTATCCCCCAGGTAGCAGACGAGAGCGGTCTGCTCATTGTTTTGCACATGGGTGTCCGACACTGCCTCCAAACTGAACACTGGTAGACACGGCTTGTGTTAATTTGGCTGATCCCAGTTTAGAGTTGTACTTTATACAGCTCTGTTATCTCTCCATCTTGTGGTGGTGACTTTCGTGGCTCTGCGTTATCCTTGAGTTCTCATGTAACGGATGAGGGAGAGAAGCCCTCTTTCTCTCCCTGCCTTATCCAAATGCATTTTGCACTCTGGCATCTCTACACAGTGTTTGGTTCTATTTGTGCTTGCTTGATACTCTGACTGTGTGCTTCGCCTTAACGAAGCTGCCCTGGTCTTCCGATAAGCACAGGTCTCATGCTCCCTTTCAGGCTTGCCTAAAAGCCCTCTTACTTCGTCAAAATGATCCCCTAGTGTTTGTGTGTACATAATCCTCAGGCGCTGGCTGTAAAGCCGAAGCCTGCATCTCCTTCTAGAAGACGCATGAGGAGCAGCAGCAGAAGGGAGGGTCTTCTCGCGTGTGGTTCCCCCCACCCAGAACCTCTCTGCCTCGTTGAGGAGTCCTGCCAGCCACTCTTTATTTTCTTGTTGTTCTTGCCTTGCAGATGGGGAGACAAGCTGGTTATGGTTGCATCCCAGACCCTGCGGCACAGAGCGCTGATTGGTTGGGAAGGAGATCCAGACTTAAAACTTCCCGACTTCTCCTACTGCATTTTGGAGCGCCTGGGGCGTGCCCGGTGGCAGGGAGAGCTCCAAAGGGACCTCAGCGTAGCGTTCAAGTAAGCATGTGAAGACTTCTATATCTGCTGGTAGGCAGCGCTGCTGCGGTCCGGGTGCCTTGCTTGTGCTGCGGCGGCTTCTGTTTCCTGTCCTGAGTTTGAGCTCCAGTTGTGAGACGTGTGATTTGTGCTGCCAGGGGGGCGGGGCATGAGGAGGGTACCCCTTCCTGGCTAGGAGAGAGAGCCACTTTATACCCTGTGGGTGGGAGGGGCTGCTGTGGCCGTGGCCTGCCTGCTTCTTGCAGGGTGCCTCTGGGATAGGCTCAGCAGTCTCCCTTGACTCCTCCGTCTTCTCACTTTGCTGTTTATGTTTGGTGTCGTGGTTGAAGTGCGCAGAGGACTCTGATCTGGGAGAACTGGGCTTGATTCCCCACTCCTCCTCCACTTGCACCTGGCTGGCTGACCTTGGGCAAGCCGTGGTTTTGGCAAGAGCTGTTATCTCAAGGACAGTTCTCGAGAGAGCTCTCTCAGCCCCGCCTGCCTCCCAGGGTGTTTGTTGTGGGGAGGGGAAGGGGAAGGAGTTTGTCAGCTGCTCTGAGACACCTTTGGGTACTGAAGGGCCATGGGGTATACATCCAATCTCTTCTTCTTCTCTTCTATGGGGCTGCTGAGCTGTAGAGAGGCCACCTGCCGATGCCCCGGGGGAGATGTCAGAGCCATAGCCAGACCAGGACAGATGTGTTTGAGTGTGTATATATCGTGCCGTGTTTAAACAGTCGGCAACCGTTTCTTCAAGTGGTGGTGCTGGTGGAAGGTGTCAGCCACTTGCAGCCGACTTATGGCGACCCCATGGGATTTTCCAGGCAAGAGACGCTCAGTGGTGGTTTGCCCTTGCCTTCCTCTGCATAGCAACCCTGGACTTTCTCGGTGGTCTCCCGTCCAGACAGTGAGGAGTGCCAGCCCTGCTTAACTCTGCGGTCTGACAAGATCAGGCTAGCCTGGGCCAGCCAGGTCAGGGCTTTGTTCGAGTAGCCTGTTCGAGTAGCACGTTTAGCCTGGAGAGGAGACGACTGAGAATGTCAGAACCCACAGCTAACAACGAAGCACATGCATTCAGGAATGGTTATACTTTTATTGCAAAGCTATAGATGCAGTAAGACAGGCACTGTTAAGAATAGCGGCAACCCATAGAGCCTAATAGGATATAGGGTATTCATATGCACCCCCCCTGGCGTGGGCCAATTAGGTACCCTCCCGCGCGTGGGACAAGTTAGGAAACCTTTAGGTGGCTAAAGCTGGGAACCAGGAGTCTCTCACGGTACATAGGAGACTTCCAGACAACACAACCTCCTCCTGCACTTCTGTAGGGATACGTGTTTCAGCAAAGGCAATTAACAAGACACAAAAGGAACTCCCCAACCCCCATGGCAGGATAGCTGACATACTGCCCTCTCGAAAATCAGCTTCTCCCGACCAACCCGGGAGGTCCCCCGGTCATTCCGGGAGATCTCCCGGTTTGTCCGGGAACTCCTGATGGAACTGTCGTAACAGATCAGGGGCCTGAATATCCCCTATTTGCAAGTACTTGAAGGGCTGTCGAATAGAGGATGATGCGGAGTTGTTTTCTGTTGCCCCAGAAGGTCGGACCAGAACCGACGGGTTGAAATTAAATCAGAAGAGCTTTCGGCCAAACATGAGGAAGAACTTCCTGACAGTTGGAACGGGTCCTCAGTGGAACAGGCTTCCTCGGGAGGTGGTGGGCTCCTCATGGGAACAGGCTTCCTTGGGAGGTTTTCAAACAGAGGCTCGATGGGCACCTGTCAGCAATGCAGATTGTGTGTACTTAGGCAGATCACAAGAGGGAGGTCAGGAAGGGTTGCCTCGGTGCTGAGTTCTCGTGGCCCTTTCTGACACGCCCAGGGAAATGCCAATCGCCACTTTAGGGTCAGGAAGCAATTTTTCTCCCGGCCAGTTTGGCTGGAGATCCTGGAGAGTTTTTTGTCATCTTCTGGGCGTGGAACAGCGGTCATGACGAGTGTGGAGGGGGAGGTATTTGTGAATTTCCTGCCTTGTGCAGGGGGTTGGACTAGATGACCCTGGAGTTCCCTTCCAACTCTGTGATTCTATGATTTTAAGAGAGAAATAAAGCAAGATCACTGAAGTCAGAATTAGATAACGATCCCCTTCTCCATCTGCTTGCTGATGCCAACTCATTGCCTGTGTTAGTGTGTTTCGCCTGGAGGAGAGGGGGCTTGTTGGAGAAGCCAGAACACATTTCAGGCCTAGCTTAAGAACCCAGTTTGATTCCTGATGCGGTTGGCATCATCGCATTTAGATGTGGACATTTTGAGAACACTTTTCTTGATTCTTCCACTTTTGCACACTTTGCTTTTTGCGCCATAAGAGTCCAAAATGTTGTTCCAGAGTGGATGCCGGGAAGCTTCACTACCACCGCAGGGTGCTGGACAGGAACGGACTCATTTCCATGCAGTCCCACGTGATCCGGTTGCCCTCGGGGGCCCAGCAGCACTCCATCCTCCTCCTCCTGACCCGCTTTCATATCGACAGGTGTGTACGAGACTGGGGGGGGGGGGGGGGGGGGGTAACGGTTTCCAGTGTTAGAGGCGAGTGGCCACAGAGGTTCTGTCTTCTTCTCTCTCTTTGCCCACTTCAGCGCACTGCTGATAGCTTGCAAGCTGGTCAAGCAACGGGCATTGCTTTGTTGCCTCCCTGGGAAGTGCTCGTGGTGTGTTCACTTCTGCTTGCCTCTTCTTGGGTTTTAGGAGGAGCAAATATGATATCCTTATGGAGAAGCTCTCCGGAATGCTGAGCGGTCGTCCAGGACAGATGGAGACCCTGGGGAACATCCGGGAGGAGCTGGTGAGGCCCCCCCCCCCTTTGTGTTTGCTCAGTCTAACAGATGGCTTGAAAAGAGGCTTAGACGGATTCCTGGAGGAGAGGTCTCTCAGTGGCTGCTGGCCATGGGGAATAAAAGGAAGCCGCACATCCGGAGGCAGCAAACCTCTGAATCCCAGTGCCAGGAGACAGCAGCAGGGGAAGGCACTGTTTGGCCCTCCAAGTAACTGGTTGCCCACTGTGATGCTGGACTAGGTGGGCCACGGGACTGATCCAGCAGGGCTCTTTGGATGTTCTAATCCAGTTCTAAGCCAGTTTGGTGTCGTGGTTAAGTGCGCGGACTCTGATCTGGGAGAACCGGGTTTGATTCCCCACTCCTCCACTTGCAGCTGCTGGATGATCTTGGGCAACCATAGTCCTGTCAGAGCTGTCCTTGAAAAAGAGCAGTTTCTGTCAGAGCTCTCTCAGCCCCACCTACCTCCCAGGGTGTGTGTTGTGGGGAGGGGAAGGGAAAGGAGTTTGTAAGCCGTAAGGGCGGGGTATAAATCTAATCTCTTCATCTAATCTGAAACCTGAAAGTGTCCACTCCACTGGAATATTTCTGTGGGGGGGAAAAAGCATTTCTTCTGGCAAAGATGGAGTTTTCTCACACGCTGCCTGTTCACTGGTCCAGCTGCATCTTTTTTTTGTGCCCTTTCTTTCCTAAAACTGCCCCCCCCCCCCCCAGCAAGAGCCTTTGTGCCCAGGCAGGGTTTTGGTTGCAAATCAGCAGGGCCGTGATTTCCCTTGGTAGCAGTAGCTGAGCAGCTAAAACTTTTGCCTGTTGGCCTTTCACGTTTCTCGGGGGCGGGGGGGCAATGGGCCTGTTAGGCGGGCAGCTCCTTCTGACAGGCACTCCCCGCTGGGCGGTTGGCTCACTTGCTCAGAGGGCTAGTCCGGCATAGTCCCGTGCCTCTGAGGCTGGCAGACGGTTCGTCACTCCCTGTCGACGAGGCAGGTGTGCTGGCCCAGCTAGTTACCACGGTGACCTACACACCGGAGGCCGGAAAGGCAGTCCGGAATCAGGGTAAACCACAGGGCCAAAGGTCAGATAGCCGGGGAATCAGTCCGAGGTTGCAGGAGTCAGGAACAAGGAGTGGTTGCGACACACCAGAAGCAGATCTGAGTATGCAGAGTTGCTACCGCGCTGAGGCAGGTACATGGAATGTTTATGAGCAGGTCCTCCCTTCCCTGGGAGTCACGTCTGCCAAGACTTACAGCTCCTCCCGCTGCCTTTGCAGGAGCTGCTGTCTGACACTCCTTCTTCACTCCTGCGTAGTCAGCCCCTGGCGTGCCCTACGTCTGGGGCACTCAGGAGAACTAGGTGGGGAGTCTGGCCTCGGGGTGTCTTCAGCTGGGGGTGCTGGGCCAGGCGCAGGATCCGTGCCTCCTTCTGGCTGCGCCTCCTGTACTCTTCCTCCTCAGGTGCTGTTGAGGGTTCTTCTTCTGGGCTGACTCCAGAGGAGGCTGGGTGGCTCCCTGCCTCATCTGAGGAGTCGTCAGCCTCAGCACAGCCAGTACCCACAACACCATTCTTCTGCTGCTGGTCGGGCTCTGCTCTGTGGTGGGCCCCGGCCCTGGAGTGTTTGCCTACCAGAGGGAAGATTAACTGTCCCCTTTTATTCAGCCCTTACTTGAGCCGCTAAGCGGAGCTGAGAGAAGCCACAGAATCCAGAGAATGTGCCGGGTGGGAGGTTCCAAGGGAGACTCTCTGGTGCTGCAGCGGGATGGAAGAGGCCTCCGGAAGTGCACCCGAGGGTCAGCCTGGCCATGGCTCGGCGGATGCTCTGCCCGCCCTTCTCTCTTGTGGGTCGGCCGCCTGGGGGCAGGGGAGTGAGCGCTGCTCCATCGACCTGTCTTCCTGTGCTGCAGGGCCTCTGCGAGAAAACGTTCAAGCGTCTCTACCAGTATATGCTGAACGCTGGCCTGGGCAAGATCGTGTCCGTCCCGTTACAGAACATGCGGCCTGACGGAGGCCCCTTCAAGACCAAGCGGGGTAAGGAGAGGGGCTCCTCCTGGGCCGGGGTGGGGGGAAGGGAGCTCGCCCCGGACATGTCCCACTCATAAAGAACTGGAGGTGGAAACGGGTTTTCTGTGGTTACGTGGATGGGGTTTTTTAAAAGCAAGCTAAGCTGAAATTGCTCATCAAACCTGATCTGTACCGCTTTAACACAAAATGCATAATTAGCACATGCAGTTCTACAGTTTGGCGTATTTAGGGGAATTCAGTGTACCTGGTGCCTTAGTTTTCTGCCAGCGAAGCTATAGAAACCTCCCCTGCTAAAGAAGCAGAGAGCACAGGCAAACCAGTGGAAGGGAGTATAAACGCTATGTAGCCCTAAACGCTCTGAAATAGAAACTTTATTCACAATACTATACTATCAAATGTCTTAAAGACAATACATTTAACAATCAATGTGACAACATAAACATACAGCAAAAAATCACAAATGAAACCCAGCTCATAACTTTGAACTATCCAGAAAAGGAGCCATGTAGTACAAATCAATGTATAAATGATTGCAGGGACGTGTTGAACATCTTCGTAAATAACGGAGCTCCAGACTCTGTACGCAGCCGTGGAATCCATAATACACGGTTGTCATGAGACAAGGATTCCGGATGTGACCTTGTTTCGAGATTTTCTTTTGTGATATGATACATTGACTGATACAACAGACACGTGAGTTTTTGCTGTTGTATCATTTATTGTTGACATCATGTTGCTTATATACATTAATGTTTCTGTTCATTAGGATTGCAGTTGTTTATACATTGATTTGTACTACATGGCTCCTTTTGTGGATAGTTCAAAGTTATGAGCCGGGTTTCATTTACGATTTTTTTGCTGTATGTGTATGTTGTAACATTGATTGTTAAATGTATTGTCTTTAAGACATTTGATAGTATAGTATTGTGAATAAAGTTACTATTTTAGAGCAGTTTAGGGCTACATAGCGTTTATACTCCCTTCCACTAAAGAAGCAGAGAGAGCTGCAAACTGCCGCTCCCTGTCCGACGGTAGCACTTCACTTCTCAGTTTTTTGCCAGTTGGGAAGTAAGGGCGGGGGGAAACTGAAAATAGAAAACATACATTTTATAGGAAACAAAAGCTTGGATTATTTGGACAGGAGCAGTCTCAGAAAGTTATAACAGGACTAACAGCATGTTTGGGTATCAAAACTTCAGAGCATTGAAAATGTTGAACTTTTCAATATTGTACGATCGTCGTGCACATAATAGCAAATCGTGGGAAAGTTCTGTTTAAACCATAAACGCAAGATAGAAAATAGGTGATCTAGAAGTCTACATTCTACTATAAATTTGGAGTGCGTGAAACAGTGCCTTAAATGCATTACAATCATTTCAGAAGGGAGAGTATTTCCAGGGAGAAAAAGTGTTCTTTCCTAGGCCTTGCTGTCTCTAAGGATAACCATACCAGCCTTCTCTTCTGTCTCCAGCCAGGGCCTCCTCCCAAGGGGGAGGGGGCCTTGCAGTAGGCTTGCCATGGCCACACATCCCTTTGGATTCAGGCCTGCTGGGGCACCGGGAGGCAGCTGGCCGGGGGGGGGGGGGGGCGCTGTTCAAGGTGCAGGAGGTTTCTCCATCAGCCACACGCACAGCACCGGCTGGGCCCGCTTGCCTGTAGCCGTTCTGTGGAGAGCAGCCATGCCTTGTGCCTTTTCTGTCTTGGGTGCCTCTGCCGTACCTGCAGAATTGCTGGGCAGGTAGACGAGTCATGCATGAGTCTCCAACAGGAGCTGCAACATCTGGGGGGGGGGCTGTCCTTTCCGGGCTGCATTGTCCAGACTCCTCTTAATGCAGCCGGATGCCAGTCTGCGTGTTTTCCCAAGAAGGAGCCTGTCTGTTTTAGGACGGTTCCTCTTTGTGAATTGTTTGTATGGAATGGCCCTGTCAAGGGGAGTGATGCCCATCCTACCTTACTGGGTATATACCCAGCTACTGAGTAGAGTGGCGGCTTGCAGCCAAGAAGCTTTGGGGAGCTCTGCATGTGAGGAATCCCTGTCCTGGCTCCCAAGCCGACCCGCTGACAGCCCGTGTGCCGGGTTGCTGTTCGCTCCCAGGGACTGATGTCATGGTCCGTTGCCTGAAGCTCGTGAAGGGGTTCCGGAAGAAGGTGGACGACTACCACGACGATGACGACGAAGAGGTGATCACCAAGACGGTGCAGCCCATCGACGTGGTTTACGAGAAGGACATGCTGACGCAGGCGTACGAGCTAAGTAGGTCGGGCGGTGGGTCGGCCCCAAGTGGGGGGGGGGGAGAGGCCCTCTCTGCAGCCTGCAAATGAGAGAAGATGCCGAGGAGGAGAAGGAGGAGGATCTCTTTCAGCTGCCGCCAGGAACTGACACTCTGGGGGCGTTTCCTTTCATTTATTTATTTATTTATTATTTTAGATTCATATCCCACCTTTCTTGCACAGGCAGGCTCCAGGCGGCAAACAACAGGTTAAAATACAATAAAACACAGCTGCGTAAGTGCAGTGCTATAAAATTCACATAAGCAAACGATATACATACAAAGTGCAGTTAACTGCAGATGGTGATTGCTGTATAGTGGTCCAGTGTAGCTAGGCCAGTATCCATGGTTGTTCTTAATGCCAGTCGCATGAGGGCCGTAACAATTCCGTTTTTAATAGCTCATTCATCAGTGACGGCTCCTAATCGAAGGCCTGGTGGAAGAGCTCCGTTTTACAGGCCCTGCGGAACTGTAGAAGGTCCCGCAGGGCCCTGATGTCTTCCGGGAGCTCATTCCACCAGAGTGGAGCCGCCACTGAAAAGGCCGTAGCCCTGGTAGAGGCCAGTCTGGTGTCTTTTGGACCAGGGAGGGTCAGACGATGTTGTGACCCTGACCTCAGTGCTCTCTGGGGGACATTTGGGGAAAGGCAGTCCCTCAGGTGGGTTTTGCATAGAAAATTTCAGGTGCTTCTGTTAAGTGAGGTTTAGGTATCCTCTTGGGGGTGGGGGTGGGGGTGTTAATGATTGTTTCAACTTCTGACTTGACCGTGGCTTCTGAGGCTCTTGAGGAGCCCTAATCACCAAGCTGGGGACCTGAAGGCTGGAGCTACTAAGAAACGTGTGGATTTTACGTACAAATAGTGTTTGTTGATTATGGTGGGAAGTGATTGCACAGGCAGTGTGATGGTAGCTCTTTTGTTTCATGGTGAAGATACGCAGGCAGGGGAATCCGCAGGGTCTTCCAGGAGACATCTCATGTTCTCCACATCCCCACCCCCTACTGTTTCTTCTTTCCCTTCCCTGGCAGCCCCTGTAGCCTCTCCCCTTTTTCCTGCTTCCTTTTCTCCTCCTCACGCACTAACCAGCTCCCTTCAATCCCGCCTTCAGCTTTCCCTGCTTTCCTTCCCCTGGTAGCCTCTCCCTGGGAAAAAGTCTGGCCAGGTTGTGAGGCTGGGCCAAGTCGTGAGGGGAGTAAGTCCAGCGGTTTCTGCCAGTCCTGTTCCCATCGAATCCTCCATCCAGGGAGGGGGACCTTTCCCAGGGCTGTTTGGGCTTCCAAGTCCAGCCCTGCTCCCCCCCCCCATGGCTTTGCTTTATAGGAATTGAGGTGTGGAAGGCTTTGCAATACTGTCGTGGTGGCCTAGCAATCTCCAGAATTCTCCAGTTCTAGAAACCTTCATTTGCACTTCTCTGTTCTTTCCAGACACAAAATACGGGGCCGCGGGGTGTTTGGTTATCGCACTGTCCAAGACTGAGTCTGTAACGATTCCATGTTTTGGTGTGTGTGTTCCTTTAAATGTTTAGTTTGACCGCAGTGCTGAAAGAAGAGTGATAGAGGGTGACAAGTGTGATTTGATTGGCTGCTGACTGAGAGTGTGGGAGGAGGGGTGTCTGAGAGGATTCTGTGTGTGTGTCTATGAGGGGATTCTGTTATATGAGAGAGACAAGTATGGAAGAGTTCTGAAGAGAGTCTCTGTGACTCTGAGAGTTATGAAGGATTCTGTGTGTGAAGTTTGAAGAGAGAACATAGTCTGTGTGACTATGGGATTCTGAGTCTAATTCTGTGTGAATAAGACCAACAGTTTAGTCTGTGTGACTAAGAGAGTTGATCCTATTCAGTGTGAATAAAACAAAGAGACTAGCCTGTGTGGCTATATATATATGAGTGTATAAGCCTGTCAGAGTGGAGTTTGGAGTCTGAGAGACTGTTTGTAGCACCAAGCTTTGCCAGTTATATTTACAAGTTTCTTTCTTCAGCAACTGTTCAAGTAACCAGAAACCTATTTTGTTCTTTATTAAATAAATCATTCTCTTTTTGTTTAAACTTATCCCAGAAATCAGCACAGTTTTCCTCAGGGCCACGTAGTCCTTTGAAGTGCCCAGACCCTAGGTCATACTACCAAAAGAGAGAGAGTTGAAATGTTTAATTCCCGGTGGCAGCATAAAACTACCAAGTGTATATACACAGAGAGAGTTTAAAGGTAAAACCGTTTCCCCTACAAGTGAGGACGTCACAGGGTCTGTTTGAGATCAGGGCAGCATCTCTGATGGGAATCCAGCCTAGATCGCCTTTTCACTCCCTCTCTGCAGTCGAGAGCTGGGGCACCAAAGGCATTTCCCAGGCGGAGCTCCGAGCGGCCATGAACGTGGGGAAGCTGGAGGCACGGATGCTGTGCCGCCTCTTGGAGCGGTACAAAGTGATCAAGGTAACGCCGGTCGTGCTGATGCCTCCCTCCCACGGACCTCCCCCTCCACTCCGTTGTGTGGACGTCGTTGGTGAGTGGTGTCCCCTTGTCTCGGTCCCGGGTTAGGGGTTCATGGAAGACGAAGGCCGGCAGCGGACGACCAAGTACATCACCTGCACCTTCGCGGAAGAGAGTGACCTGAGCCGGCAGTTTGAGCGCGAGAAGGCCCGGAGCGAGCAGCTAGCCCTGGCCAGCACCTCTGCGGCCCAGGAGGACTCCTTGCCAGGGGAGGACCTCTCGCTCGGGGAGGAGGAGACGCTGCTGCTCTCGGAGCTGGGGAACGAGGACGAGGAGGAGGAGGAGGAAGACGGTGCGGGGCCAAGGAAGGCTTGCACGGGGTCCCGGCTGAGGCCGCCTTTCCAAGGAGGCCTGTGCCACTCGACCCCAACCAAAGGTGCGGAGCGGGAGCTGTCGGGTCGGGGGTGCCCGGAGGGAGGCGCTCGTTCTCGGCTCCAGCGCCCCAAGTGGGCGCACCTGCGTTCGGGAGCTGTCCGGGCCCTGACTCCCCTGGGTTTTGGGTTTCTTCCCTCCTCTCCTCTCCTTGCCAGCCGTCATCCAGGAGTGGCGGTGCCCAGGCCCCTCGTCCGCGTGTGGCTAGAAGCCCTGACCCCGGCCACAAGGGCTGGGCTGGCAGCTCGTCGTGGGGCAGGGTGGGAATGGCCCGGTTAATTGGCAATGGGATTGGGTCTGGAAGAAGGAACTCTGTGGCGGAGCAGTAAAGGGACACGGCCCTCCGACTCGTGCTGAGCTGCCTCAAGGGCTGAGTGGTGGAGAGCCCAGCTGCAGAGGGCCCGATCCAGTTCTGTGGTCTGGCCAAGGAGGCCGCTGCTGCTGAAGGAACGGCAGAAAAGAGCCAGAGGAGTCCAGGAGCACCTTGAAGATTCACAAAAGTCACCTGAAGAAGTGACTGCGGTGACTCACGAAATCTCCTGCCCTGCCACAAATTTTGTGAGTCTTCAAGGTGCTCCTGGACTCTGGCTCTTTTCTGCTGCTACAGATGGACTAACAGGGTGACCCGTCTTGGTGTAAAGGAGCAGGTTGTAGCAGAGCTTGCAGGGCTGCTGAAGGTCCAGGCTGACCAGTTGGGCTTGTCTGTTTCTTCTTGACCCAGGCAGGAAATCAGCAGCTCCAGCAGCAACCCCGGGCAGGAGGCGGCCCCCTGCACACTCCCCGGGGTACCCCGAAGAGCTTCCCGACCAGGCGGCAGATGAAGACTCTGCTTCAGACGTGCCGAAGCAAGAGGCCACTCCCTCCTTGTGCGCCCGTTCTTCAGACGACTCTGAGGATGTGGTGGTGGTTGAGGAAGTCAGGCTCGAAACCCCCAAAGTAAGAGGCTCGGGTTCAAGTCCTGCACTGTCTCTACTGCTGTGCAAGGTCGAGGGGCAGGGCTCCTGAGGTCTCTAGAGGCCCCCAATGAGGGCAATGGGCGGTGGAGTCGGGACGGGCAAAAGGAAATACTTTTTAATACAAGGAGTGTTTAAAATGTGGAATCTGCTGGCGGAGGATGTCGTGATGGTCAGAGGCATAGGTGGCACTAAAAAGGGATTAGCCCAGGGCTTTTTTTGGGGGGGGGGGGAGATGTGCTGGAAAGTTGGCAGGGTTGGCCGGGCCCCTTTCCCGTGCCTTCTCTAAGCTCGCCTCGCAGTGTCTGAGCGAGGTCCCCTTGGAGGTGTGAATGGTCTCCTTCCTGGTCTTCAGGGAATCTGCATGTTTCCCCCCTCTCTCCCTCTCTGTTGTATACGATGGTAGTTCTATATGCGGTGTGTTCAGTTTGAGGGACTGCCACCCGCCTGGGGGCCGTTGAAGGAAGGTGGGCTACGCAGGTTTTGAAATGAGGCCGCCGCGGGCGGGGCTTCAGGGAGGTCCTCTCCGTGGGCTCCCCAGAGGCAGCCGGCCATCGTGCGAGGGGAGCATGGGGCCAGATGGGCCTTTGGACCGCTCTCGCAGGGCTCTTCCTGCTGCTCCGTCCTGCGCTCCTGGGACTCCGCCCTCCTCGTCTCCGTCCTCCGTGCCACTTTTGCTCTCACGGGCATTTTCCTCACCTGTGTCCAGAAGACCTGGGGTGGCAAGAGGAAAGAGAAGCGCCCTCGGGCCTCGGCGTCCGAGCGCTCGCACGAGACCTACCGCCTCCTGAAGCGGCGCAACCTCATCATCGAGGCCGTCCAAAACCTCCGCCTGATCGAAAGCTTGTTTGTGTGAGTGGGGGAGGGGGGGTCCGCGGGGTGCTGCTTGGGCCCGGGGGGGGGGCGGGCGGCCGGCCAAGCAGAGCGAGGGGGGCAGGCTTCCCCAGGGGGGCATCAGGTGGATCGGTGTTGCTGTGACTGAGCAGTCGGCCTGGCTCAGAGGGTCGCTCTGGGCTGGGGGAGGCCGGCCTTTCTCCCTTCACCCCATCGACTGCACTGGCTGTCCGGGCTGGAGCCCAGGGCCGGGGGGGAGGGGCTGCGCAGTCCCCTGGAGAGCTCTGGAACCCAGGAGCAGTCGCTGGTGTCCCCAGTGCCGTTTCCTTCTTGTCTTTGCTAGAAACCTCCGAGGGGCTTTTCTGCTTCCGGTGGCCGGCTCTCACCTCCTTTCCACACCCCACCCCGGCCACTGGTGGTGTGTGTGGGGGTGGGGGCGGTGTTCCGGAGTCCTTGTGTTCCCCTCTCTCCCTCCCCTGGGCTGCCTCTCTCGACCTGCAGGCCGTTTGGAGCGGGGGGCACCCCTAGAATCCACTCCTTTGTGCTGCTGGGCTCTGTGGGACGCCCAGCCCCTGAGCCCTGCTGCAGCCGAGCGGTCCTGCCTGTGTGTTGCAGGCTCCAGAAGATGGTGATGGACCAGGAGAAGCAGGAAGGGGTGGCTACGCGGTGCTGCAAGAAGTCCATCATCCGCCTGGTGCAGCGGCTCTCCCAGGAGGGGCTTCTGCGCCTCTACCGCACGACCGTCATCCAGGACGGGGTCAGCAAGAAGGTGACTTGGCCCCGGGAGGCTCCCCTTTGGCGGGGGTCGGGGGGGGGAATCTCCTGGCCTGACTCTCCAGCACCTTTGCTCCCCACATTCAGCCTGATTTGCAAGTGGGGCTCTCCCCACGAAGGGAGTCCTGTCTGTGACTCTGTGTGTGTGTGTTCTGCAGTGGTACAGTCTCCAGAGAGGGCTGTACCATATGCACAGCTCCATATCTTCCAGGGGATCTCGGCTACATCTCTTCTCTGATGCTGCCGCTAACCTGCAGCGTCTTCTGGACTGTGGCCACAGAAGTGGTTCTCTGCACAGAACGCCTGATGAGGTTGGGGCTGAAGGGAGGGGGGGAGGGCGTGTTCACTCTTAGCCACAGGGAGCAGTTGGTTGTTCTGCAAATGGGAGGCCAGCAGGCGCCCCCCCTCCCCCGGCAGTATGGGGTACCCCAGGGTTCACGTCTGGTGCATGAGACTCATTTTGAGCATTCCTCTTTCTCCGTTTCCTGGACAGGTGGAGTTTGTGGTGGACCCCTCCGTCGGCCCCAACGACCCGCTGGTGAAAAGCGCCATCGAGCAAGTCCGGTTCCGGATCTCCAACTCGAGCACCGTGAACAGGCAGGTGGCCGGGGCGGGCACGGCGCAGGGGCGGTCCTGTGGCGCAACGGCCTGGCTCGGGGGGGGGGGGCGGGCCCCGGGTCGGTGTGCCGGAGGAGAGGCGGCCCCCGGCCCTGGGGCTGAACTCCCTTTCCCCTCTTCTGCACAGCAGGATCAAAGTCCCCCAGACGCCGAGCTCCCAGGAGCGCCTGGACGAAGGGGGCCCGGAGTCCGGGGTCGGGGCCGCCTTGAGGGAGATGGAAGGGCGGAGGGCCGGGGAGAAGGTGCGCGTCCGGAGGTTCAACTATCACCCCGTGACAGGTGAGGAGGACCCGCCGTCTTTCTCTGGCTTGGCTCCTCCTTCTCTGGCTCCAGAGACCAGACCCCGCCCTCCCTCCCTGGAAGGCCTGGGCCTACCAACGTCTCCGCCCCTCTCCTCCCGTCTCTCCAGTGCCGGGCCTCGGTCGCTCCCTGGGCTTCCTCCCCAAAATGCCCCGCCTCAGGACAGCCCACGTTTTCTTCTGGTACTTGGTCTACGGGCACCCTCTGAATGCGTCGCAGAGCCAGGCGGGTGGTGGCAGCAGTGCGCCGGGCCTGGAGGCCTCTGGCTCCCCACCGCGGGCCCCAGCGGGGGATGAGGAGCCTGAAGCCGCACCCGCGGGGAGCCGTCTGGCCCCTGCCCAGGAGGTGGAAGTGGAGCTCAGGGAGCAGGCAGGTAAGGCCTTGGCAGCACGGAGCCCACTGTCGGGTGTGTGGGAATGGGCCATGGGCAAGGCTCCCTCTGAGCCGTGGAGTCTCGTGAGCAAAAATTCTACCTTGTGAGCTGCTGTGAGCAATTTGGCCGCTGCATAAAATTAGTCTGCTCTGGAGCTGTCCTTCATGAGCTGAGACAAAAATGTGTGAGCTGGAGGCTAAAAGACTGTCAGCTAGCTCACACTAACTCAGCTTAGAGGGAACACTGCCCATGGGAAGCGTCCCGTACGTCTCGGCCTGAGGAGCTCCTATCTGACGGGGCTCAGTTTGGCAACGGGGGCCCCCTGTGACGTTGATTCGAACTCGGGCCTGCCTGAACTGCCTGAGGCTTCCTTCAGGGCCGGCCGTATATGAGAAAGCAGGCAAAGCTGTTCTGAAAGCAAGTTTTTCTTCTCCCCTCCTGCTCCCCGCAGTGTACCTGGACGAGGCCTCGTGGAAGCGTCACGTCCCTCCCCTCCCCGTCCACAGGGAGTATGGCCACGGTTGGGCCCTCGTGAGCGACATTCTCCTCTGCCTGCCGCTCTCCATCTTCATCCAGCTCGTCCAAGTCAGCTACAAGGTGCGGGGAGCTGCTCTCGGGGGGAGGCACGTGGGCTGGGCTGGGGGGGAGGGGCAGACAGAGGGGCCTTGCTGAGACAACCCCCCCCCCGATCTTCAGCCAACTGCACCCAACGCTGCCCCTTCTGTAGTTGTCGTGTGTCTTAAATCCTTTCCTAGAAGAAAACTGGTGACGGCCGGAGAGGTACTGCTGGTGTTTGCTGGAGGGTCAGGAGGGGTGGGGGTGAGCCCTGCCTCCCCCCCCCCGGGATTCTTTTCGGCAGCCAGTCCTTTTCTGCCGAGCAGAGTTGTTGAGGCTTTTCTTAACGCAGTTCGAAGTCAACCCAGTCTTGCTCGCACTGAGCTAAGTGTTGGTTCCTGGTAGGTGGAGAACCTGGAGGATTATTTAAACGACCCCCTGAAGAGGCACACCTTGATCAGATATCTTCCCAGATCAATTAGACAAAAACTCCTTTATAAAAGGTGAGCGGCTTTGTTTGTTCCTTTTGCTTAGAAGATTTTTGTACTGCTGCTCAATTAGCATTTCATTAAGAGAAACACACTGCAGTCGGTGTGAGCTACCTCACAGTGTTTTAGCCTCCAGCTCACATGTTTTTGTCTTAGCCCAGGAAAGATCGGGCTCCAGAGCACACTAATTTGTGCAGTAGCCGAATCGCTTGGTCACAAATTAGAATTTTTGCTCACAAGAAGACTCCACAGCTTAGAGGGAGCATTGATTGCAGTACATAAAAAGCCCCAGGAAACAAGCCATCCGCCAGCCGAAGACAGCAGAGTGAAAAAGCCTCTGTTACCAAGGCAGCAGCTGGAGTTCTGGGGCTGCAACAGAAAAGACCCTACTCCTTGCAGAGACGAGCCTGGCCATCCTCCACATAAGACGGAAAGTTAAACAGGACTCAGTTTATATGTCTTAAATGCTGGGAGGAGTCATATTTGTGAACCTGGGATAAGCAGGTGTCTTTTCAGAATAAGGTATAAACATGGGGGGGGGGGTTTGACCGTAACATGCAGGGAAGGCTGTTTCCTGTCAAGGCAGCCTAATTCTCTTCCTTTGGTAAGGGAGCCCGTTGGCAGTGTTCCCTCTAAGCTGAGTCGGTGTGAGCTAGCTCACAGTGTTTTGGCCTCCGGCTCACACATTTGTGTCTCAGCCCAGGAAGGATGTGGCTCCAGAGCAAACTAATTTACGCAGTAGCCAAACTGCTCGCTCACAACTTTAATGCCGGTCGCTCACAGAGTAGGATTTCTGCTCACAAGAAGACTGCGCAGCTTAGAGGGAGCATCCCATGGTGGATGCAGCGGGGAAAACAAAAAAGAATCCCTGGCTACCGTTGTTCTTTCTGAGGGAGCCCAAGAGACATCTGTCAGAACTAACCGCAGAGGAGCACACACATCACTGGGACGGCCGCTTGCGGGTGGGTTGAGTGGGACGGCCGGCGTCAAGCCAGCAGCCGGCATCCCGCGGACCCTGACCACGCCACTGGCCCTCTCCACACCACCTGGAGGAGGCCATCGCCGGCTTCAGAACACGAAGCGGCTTCTCTCGAGAAGAGGGTTGAGCGGAGGGCAAAGCGGAGCTCCCCGAGGGCAGCTGTGAAGGGCCAGGCAAAGGAGAGCGGAGTGGAGTGGGCCAGCTTTGCCCACCCTGAGTCCGCCTCCTGCCTCCCCGCTCCTTGCCCATTTGCACGCTGGGGGTCCTGCGCCTGCCGTCAGTCAAGCAGAGCAGCTCATGCCATGAACACTCAGCAGGCATCTGCTGGTCCAGTCAATACGCCGTCTGAAAGAAGGTGGCCTGTCTGCAGGAGCTCTGGCCAAGCCCCGAGGCTTCCACTGGGACCCCTTGGTCCTGTGTCCCTTAGGGGGGGTCGGTCATGGTTGGATACCCTCTTTCCTGATCAGCAGGGGGTCTCACGGGCAATGCTCCCTCTAAGCTGTGGGGTCTGATGAGCAAAAATCCTGCTTGGTGACCTGCTGGCCTTAAAGTGGTGAGCCATGAGCGATTGGGCTCCTGCATGAATTAGTTTGCTCTGGAGCCACATCCTTCCTGAGCTCAGACAGAAATGTGTGAGCCGGAGGCTAAAAACCTGTGAGCTAGCTCACACTAACTCGGCTTAGAGGGGACATTGGTCTTGGGTCCAGCTGGAGCACAGAAAGTGTCAGGAGAGGCTGCGTGCTGGAAGAAGGAGCCCTGCTCCCTCCTGGGGCGGTGGGGCGGGTGGACAGCCTTCCCCATCCAGTTTGAAAAAGGGGAAGTGGACGTTTTGCTCTGCGTGAGATGGCCCCCCCCCTCTCTCTCTCTGAAGCCAGCTCACCTGCAAGTGTCCTTCCCCACAGGAGGTACATCTTTTCCGTGGTGGAGAGCCTGCAGCGGCTGTGCTACATGGGGCTGGTGCAGTTTGGCCCCACAGAGAAGTTCCAGGAAAAAGATCAGGTAACGCACCGGGGGCCGTCTGTTTCCCAGACCATGTCGCTCCTCTTGGGGAAAGGGGGAGCGGCTGGTGACGAAGCCACGTCTCTTGGGCTGTGCTGGGGGCTTGGGGAGGGGAGGGGGGGGACATCCTGCATTGTGCCCTTTGAACTGGGGTTGTTCTCACACCAGATAGCGGTGGGTGTTGCAGGGGCCCTGAGTGGACCAATCATGCCCCCCTGGAGTTGCTGCAGTGGCTGCATCTGGCCCAGTGGACCCCCCCCTTTCCAGTGACTGCCTGAAGAAGGCAGATGTGTGCACCCCCGTTCCTCGGAAGGCGCATAGCCATTGCCCGGCTTCCTGGCAAAACTCTCACGGGATGGGCTCCCCTGCGTGGTGCTGTTTGCACGCTTCTTCCAGAAAGGCCTGCCCCAGATTCCGGTCCCCGAAAGCAAGCACAGCTCTGAGGATGGACTTCATGAGCCAGACTTGGGGGGGGGGGCTTTTGCTCTCTGGCTTTGTGGGCTTGCGCCCTTTTTCTAAAGGCCCGGGCTGGCCCTGAAAGGAGAGAGGGGAGAACTGCGTCAGAGCCCCCGGGTGTCGCATCTGTGCAAGAATGCACCGAGTGCTGCTGAGAGGTTTGGCTTGTGTGTGCCAGCCAGTTCTAGGCGGGCTGATACAACCAGGGGTGGAACGAACAGAAGGAGAAAGCCGGCAGGGCTGGGGGCTCTTTGCCACCTGTTACATGGCTTTGCGCCTGTCGGCCTGGAGTCACGGGCATGCCGTTGGTGCCGCAGGCCGCCTCACTGGCGCTTCCAAAGCCATCTGCGCTCGTCGGCCACCACGACACCCGCTGGCAGTGAACGCCACGGTCGGTCGAACGACTTCTCTACTAAAGGAGCCTTCCCTCCTCTCTGAGCCAAGCTGAAATGGGAATGGCCTTTCTGATGCGAACCTCTTGTGTGCCTTCCAGGTGTTTGTATACTTGAAGAAGAACGCGGTGATTGTGGACACCACCGTCTGCGAGCCCCACTACAACCTGGCTCAGAGCAGCCGCCCTTTTGATAGACGCTTCTACGTCCTGAGCACACTGCAAGACGTGGAGAACTTCTGGTTTGACCTGCAGTGCATCTGCCTCAACACCCCCCTCGGTATGGAGAGGCAGCGGCAGGCGTGGCCTCCGGCCGCCGGGCTCCTTGCCACCCCCTGCCTGCCCCTCGCCTCCCCTGACCCCTCTCCCCTGCCACGTGCCGTGGATCCTTCGGATGGTTGCTGCTGCTGCTGACAGGTTTTGCTTGCATCGCCAGGAATTGTCCGCCATCCCCGGGTCAAGAGAAGCGGGGCTTCAGCGGACGCCGCCGATGCAGGCAGTGCTCTGGATGTGACATTGGAGCAGGAGTCGGCGGCGCACAAACACAACCTGGAGCGCAAGTGTGTCATGCTGGAATACACGACGTACGTCTCCTTTGCCGCCTGAGGCTGGGGAAGGGGGGGGGTTGTCTCTCGTGGGTGGGGGGAATCCTCTTGTTTCCTTCCGCCTTCTGTTGAAGGAAGCAGGGCTGCAAAGTCTCACACTCCTTGAAGGCCTCTCATTACACTGACTCTGATGTGCTGCCAGCCAGCCGGCAGTGACTGGGAGACTGTTGATGTAATCTTTGCAAGGGGGCTGTGTTCCCTCTAAGCTGAGTGAGTGTGAGCTAGCTCACTGTTTTTTAGCCTCCGGCTCACCCATTTTTGTCTTAGCTCAGGAGGGATGGGGCTCCAGAGCAAACTAATTCATGCAGGAGCCAAATCGCTCACTGACCACTTCAATGCCAGTAGCTCGCAAAGAAGAATTTTTGCTCACCAGGCTCCGCAGCTTAGAGGGAGCATTGCAAGGGGGCGCAGGTATTCTTCTCAGAGAAATGTGTGGTACGCATGGCACAGTTGGTCTCTTCCAATGCAGACTATCATGCATCTTTGGGCACAGCTCCTCTCCGACTGTGGCTGTGCCTGCGTGTCTGTTAACATTTTTCACCTGGCCAGCCCTTCCTTTAGGGGTTCTCACAGCAGCATGCTTGCTTCTTTTATCTTCATCGATGAAGCCTATGAGGGAGGGAGGGAGGGAGACAGAGGGGGGGGGCACCCAGGTGTCCCCAGTCTTGCAACGGTGGGAAGTGAACCTGCCCTACCCCCTGAGCTCCTACCATCCTTTCCTGGGGAGAGGCCGTGGCTCAGTGGTAGAGCGTCTGCTTGGCTTGCAGACGGCCAGTTCAGTCCCTGGCGGCATCTCCAGCTGAAAGGACCAGGTGGTGGGTGATGCAAGAGACCCTGGAGAGCGGCTGCCGGTCTGAGTAGACCAGAATGGCCTTGTTGGACCGAGGAGGGGGGTCTAGTTCGGCATCAGGCGGCTTCCCTTGTCCATCTGCATCTTCACCTGGTACTTAAAACGTCTCTCTGGCTCTCCCCCCCCCCCCCCCCGGGGGGCCCGGGGGGCCGAGAGGTCGTAGACGATGGTTCTGTGCCTGGAGACGGGTTGGGAGCTGGCGGTCTGGATTCCAGCTTTTACGCCCACTTGAAACGCAACTGGATTTGGACAAGCTACATTATCAATAAGACCAGGAAGGTAAGGGTTTCTGGCCTGGAGTTCTGCCTGCCCTTTGAAAAGAAGCTGTTCGTTTCCAGAAATAATCTCCTCCTCACTGCCTGTTCCCTCCCTGGTGGCGGCAGCCGGAGTTTCTGTTGTGAAGACAGGGCTGCTTTCAGGATCAGATGAAGGGGAAGGGGGGGGCTTTGGGTCCCCACGGGAGAGAAGGCGGGGGCTACAAGCAGGTTCCTCTGGTGACCCACCCCCCATCACCCCCCCTGCTCCCACCCACCTGCTCTGTAGCGAAGGATGACTCTTTATTGGTCAGCTGTGCACTCCCGTGAAGCTCAGGCGATTCCTGCCCATGAGGCCGCTTTCAGATGCCGTGTGGACTTTGGCTGGGCTTCAAGAACGGTCCTTCACCACTTGGCAGTCCCACCCAGGGCTGTGCTTGAGGCCCCTGTGCAGCCCGGCTGTTCTCGCCCTTTCTGACGCCCTTTTGCTCTGCCGCTAGGAGAACCCCGTCTCTGAAGTTGGGCACACCGTGAGACTCCAGACCTTCCTGACGAAACGCCCCCTTCCTCTCGGCACCAGAGGTGATGGGATACTACGGAGGGCACTGGAGCGGAGCTGGCAGGAAGAATTGCCGTGTGACCCTGACTCCTTGAGTGGGGGGTTTTTTTTTTTGTCACAGGGGCCCTTTTCTGAGCTCACGAAATGCAGCAGTGGCAGTTGGTTGGGGGGGGGGGGCTGATATCAGGGACACTTTGTCCGGATCCATTAGGTGTGAGTTCTGGACAGATCTGGATGCAGAAAAGCATTTTACAGAACTTGGCTGTGTAAACCAGATGTAGGTGTGTGTCTCTGTCCCACTGGTTTATTTCCTGAGGTCACTCGGAGGTGTTAGAACTACAAACTGGTTCCTTCTGAGGACCAGTGAGATTTTATATTTTCAAATGTCGTGGAAGTCCAGGCGGGGACTTGAAACGATGCTTCTTTGACTGGGAACGGTCTCCTTGTTTAGTCTGTATGTGGTTAGCTGAGGAGAAGCAATCTGATGCCAAAGCAGAGGTCAGTTATATTGCTCCAGATTAGAGATGTAAAATTTCCGGAATTTTTTTTATTTATTTATTTATAAGTTTATTTATATTTTCCAACAAAAAAGAAATTTAAATACATTCCTTTAGTACATATCATTTTCCGGAGTGTTCATTATACATTTTTTTCAAACCATTTATATACTTTAAGCCATTTTTTCTTATAAATGTTATCATCTCTTCCTGCTAATATCATATTTAATCTGTCCATTTCTGCAATTTCGAATATTTTTTCCATTATTTCTTCTTTTTTAGGTAACATATCTGATTTCCATTTTTTTGCTATGAGGATCCTGCTTATAGTGAGGATATATAACATGATACATTTATCATCTTTAGCTATTTTATCAGGCAACATATTCAGCAAATAACTTTCGGGTATAGGCTGCAATTCTACTTCTAGAATCTCTTTTATCAACTTTTTTACCATATTCCAAAAACTCATTATCTTATCACACCTCCACCATATATGATAATACGTTCCTACATTGTTTTTGCATCTCCAGCATACATCCGGGACGTTCTTATAACATTTAGCTATTTTATCCGGTGTCCAATGCCACCTATAGAACATTTTCAAGATATTTTCTTTATATGGTGTGGCTCTTACTAACTTTATCGTTTCCCACAAATTTCCGGAAATTTTGAAGCTCAGAAAAAAACCCATTTTTCCCCGGTTTTTTTCGGGGGGAAACGGAAATTTTTGGAAAAATTGAAAAAAATGCTACATTAACATTTCTTTTGTCTTTTCTAGATTGAAAGCCATTCTGTTACTTTAGGAACATAAAATATGACTATGGATGAAATTATCACAACTAGCATATTAAAAATATAGTGTATCCAAACAATTATTACAAACAGAATACCCTCCCACATGCAAAAACAAAACTGAAACTTTTTTATTTTCTTCTGACAATCGCACCACCTAAAGGAAGAAATGCATCTTGTTCTTGCATTGGAGAGTTCTGTTTGTAACCTAGGACTTGCTTGTCCTCAGTGCACAGAAATTAGATTAATCTGATACCATATATATATATATATATTATTCATCATGTTAAAATAAAACGTTCCATAATCAATATTTTTTCTTTTCCCCCCGAATTTTTCCGTTTTTTTTCTGGGCCTTCACATCTCTACTCCAGATGCAGCGCATTCACCCAGTTCTCGTGCATGCTGGCAAGGCGGATCCTCTCCCATCTTGCCGCACGCGGCTTTCACTTTGCTTTGGGGCCCTGAGGCCTCCTTCCCCGGGGGCCACGCCGGCATGGAGCGGAGCTGCTGCTGCTGCGCGTGTCGCCCTGATCCAGGCCTAATCCCAGTGTGTCCACTCAGGTGGCGGCAGCGGCAGCACTCCGTGGGGCGACCCCCTGGTGGGGACGGAGCCTCCTGCCGGAAGAGAAGACCTGGTGGAGATTGAGAAGGAAGCAGCGCTGAACAGAAGCAAGAGAGTGAAGGGCGGGAAGAGCCAGAAGAGGCGGCGCCTGAAGAAGGAGCTGGGGAAGAAGGCCAAGAAGCGGAAGCGGAAGAGGGGTAATCGGGGGGTGGGGTGCGGCAGGGTCCATAAGGGGCACGGGACTCCTCCACCCGGAGAAGAGCTTTGGGCTGCTCAGAAGCCGGCTGTGAGCGCCAGGCCGTTCTTCAGGCTTCTTGGCCTGCTGCTTCAGGCCGGGTGGGCTTCGAATTTCAGATTGTCCTGACCGAGAAGCAGAGAACTTTTAAGGCTCTGGGGAGTCAGACTGGGTTTGACGCCCAGCCTGCGTTGGAGCCTCTTGGTGGCTCCGCAGGACTCAGACAGGCCGTCCAAGCCAAGAGGAACTGCCATTAAACGTTGTCTTTTTTCCTTTCTGGGGGCCACGAAGAGGGGACCCCGGGGGAAAAGAGCAAGAAGCCCCGCTATCACGACGAAGCGGATCAGAACGCCCTCCTGCGGATGACCCGCCTGCGTGTCACCTGGACCGTGCCAGAGGACAGCCTGCTGATACTGTGCCGGATTGCGAGCAACGTGCTCAATGCCAAGGTACTGGGGGGGGGGGGGGAGGCGTGCCTTTGCTTAGCTGCCGTATGACCAGGATGCGGAAGAGCCATTCTGCCGCGAGGTCTGCGTCCGTCAGGGGTTCCGCTTCAGGACCAACTCTCTCCCGTCTCTTGGTTTGGTGCAGGTGAAGGGCCCCTTTGTCCCCTGGCAAGTGGTGCGGGACATCATGCACGCCAGCTTCGAGGAATCCTTGGATAAGACCTCGCATTCCGTTGGAAGGAGAGCCCGCTACATTGTCAAAAACGAACAGACCAACCTCAATTACAAGTGAGATGTCCTCTTTTGCTCACAGAGCGCCCCCTTGAGCAGGGGTCCCAGCACGGTGCCCGTGGGCACGGTGACGCCCACCAGCACTCTCCCTGACACCCGCCGAGGGTCCGCAAGGAAGTGGGTGGGGCCGGGTGAGGCTTCTGATCGGCAGGGCTTCTGATTGGCCTCTGGAGGTAGAATCGGCTCCTGAGCGGATTCAAAAAGGCATTGCTTTGGGAATGTTGCTTTTTGATTGATTGATTGATTTGATTTATATACTGCCCTCCCCGTAAACGGGCTCAGGGTGGTTTACGTCAATTAATATAATACAATTAAAACAACATTAAAATGATAGTTTACACAGAACGGAGAGATCATAAGAACATAAGAGAAGCCAATGTTGGATCAGGCCAGTGGCCCATCAGATGTCAAATCAAATTAGATGTTAGATCAAATCCAGGTGTCAAATCAGGTGTCTAATCAGATCCCGGCCAGTGTTCCCCCTAAGCTGAGTCAGTGTGAGCTAGCTCACAGTCTTTTAGCCTCCGGCTCACGCATTTTTGTCTTTGCTCAGGAAGGATTGGGCTCCAGAGCAAGCTGACTTACGCAGTAGCCCAATCCCTCCCTCACAACTTTAATGCCAGTGGCTCACAATGTGGACTTTTTGCTCACAGGACTCCACAGCTTAGAGGGAGCCTTGGTTGTGGCCACTAGTGGGTGATTGGCCAAAAGCTGGGGAGGGGGGGATGCCCACCGCCTCAACCGAAAGCCCGGCGGAAGAGCTCCGTCTTGCAGGCCCTGCGGAATTGGAGGAGATCCCGCAGGGCCCTGATCTTGTACAGGAGCTCCTTCCACCAGGTGGGAGCCAGGGCCGAAAAAGCCCTGGCCAAGGCTAATCGGACGTCCCTGTAGTGGGGGGGGGGACCACCAAGAGATGTGTGGAGCCCAGTGCCGCCCCCCCCTCCCGGGGCTCATGCGGGGAGAGGCGGTTTCGAAGGTATGCTGCCCCCCCCCCAGCACAGCACAGCACAGGAGGGATCCTCCCTGCATGACAGAGGGTGGCCCGGATGCAGGCAAGAAAATGCTTTTGAGCAACATGTTCATTTTAAAAGGTGTCTGGTGAAGCAGCGCCTCCGCCTGAAATGTGGCTGTCAAGGTTATGTGCAGCTTCACGATGGGACATGTTGTGGTTGGCTCTGCCCTCCTGAGGCGGCCGCTGTCCTTAGCCCCGCCTCCTTTGGCAGCCATTCCCCCCACACACACACACACACCAGGATTCCACAGGGGCCCAGAGGTCAAAAGGGCTAGGGGCCCATGAGCTGGGGGTGTGGAGCTGACTGGCCTAAAAACGCCGCCACTCTCCCTTCCCTCTCTGTGGCCCGGCTCAATCATCGGCTTACTGCAGCGGCTGCCTCTGCTGCAGGCTTACGCAGGACTCTCCCTGGCCCTTCCCTGTCGCCTCTGATTCCTGCGTCACTCAGCTAGAGGAGCTCCAGGCGAAGGCATCCGGGGCGCCCCCGGGAAGAGCTTTGGCGGCAGTGCCCCAGGGGAGGCCTTCCCCGTCTCCCTTCCCGCTGCAGGGGAGCTGTGTGCCCCCTCTGAGGGGCAGGCTCTTCCTCCTTCAGCTGGGGGGGTAGGGGGGTGCGGGACCTCTTGCGGGAGCCTCAGGGCTGAGGCTGAGCCGTTGCCACATCTGCCGCAGGGTGTGTCTGGCGGAAGTCTACCAAGACCGAGCTCTGATTGAGGATTTCATGAGCAGGAAGAACAACTACCAGGACCCCAAGGTAAGAGGAGCACGGGGCCGCACGGGGCTCAGCCTCCCCCCCCCGCTTGCGTCTCCACCTCTCCCCCCCCCCCCTTGCGTCCCCCCCTCTGTGCCTAGGCTGGGCTGTCATCTCGGGGGGGGGGGGCACATCAGAAGCCTCCTCGTCCTGCTCCCAGGGCCTCCCCCAGAAATGCAGCCAGCACAGAGTCAGGCCCCTGAGCAGAAGTGGTCTCCCAGGGTCCTGATCCCGTCCGTAGAGCAGAGGTTCACAGTGCCACTCCCGTGGGGCTTCTCGGGGGGGGAGGCACTTTCCATCCTTCCCTCCCGCCATTCCCTCTGTGCCAGGGGTCCCCCCCCGTGGGGCACGTTGGCCCCTGGGGCACTCTGAGGAAGTGGGCAGCAGGCCCTCTCGCCTCCCTCCTGACCGCTGCGCGTTCCTTGGCTTTTCCACCCCACCTTCTCCCACCACGGAAGCCGGGGGAGGGGGGACGTCTCCTGTCTGGGCGCTGGCCACAGCAGGCCTGCTTCATTCCAGCAAGGCCGCCGCACCAGCGGGA